ATAGTATTAGTCACTTAGGATGTCAAATTTTTCGGTTTATTACGTTATAGTGCTTTTGATGTTTTAGCGCGCTCAAGAGGAGCAAGTACGACGACAGCGGCTTGGTGTGAAGCGACGGACAATGAAAGGAGAACTGACAGAAGATGTAATCGATGAGCTTGAGCAGAGGCTAATAATGGTTGATGCAGAAAATGAGTTGCGCACGAAAACAAGAAAAACAAAGTTGGACTCGAGCCAAATCAACGATGGAGATTTTGAAAAGATCATGAACGGTATGTTGGGAAATTATAACCCCATTCTTTTGACTTCAGCTCCAGGTGCAGCCCAAACAAACAAATTACTCGCTGATGTTAACAGAATTCCCGCATTATTGACAGATTCTCAAGTATGGCGATGGAGAATGTTTTTTTTTTCAAATTCGTTTTCAGTAGTTTTTGGGAAAAGTTACTGATCCTATGGTAAATTTAAGGAGTTATTGGCATAATTTCAGAAGTGATGACACTTTTTTTGAGGAAAAATGCACTTGTCTTACGCTTGCCAAAAAATTGAGGCACTTGGTTTTCTGTTCCCTTCCACTTTCTTCGCTTTTGCTTTTTTCATTTGCTAGCCCGCTCTTCTTTCACAATTGTGCTAGTGCTTTTCAGTCCTCGAGTGGTAGTACTTGTGAACAGCAAGCCCGTTGTTGGCACGGCTGTTGATGGTTTCTTCTTTCTCGGGTTACCTAAATCGCTTCTTAATTTTAAAATAGAGAAAATTTTCTAAGTCAAAGTTTGGTTATTTTGTCGTATCAGCAGATCTTTAGGTTTGAAAGAAGGCGCTTACGTGACATTCGATAATGCACAAAATACGAAGCGTTACAGTTCTTCGGTTACAATAGGTTCCAGCAACAAATGTTCGCATCCACCTCCCGTGGAGCCAAAACCGAAACGGATCTCGACAAGAACTCATGATTAATGCAATTATCAATTTTTCTCGTATTTCCGGTTGATTTAATTAACAAAAAATCGTTGTTTTCGGATTGTACCAAGTGATGTTGCATTCATCCGTGTTGTTTAGTATCTCATTGCAGATTTGTTATACCGACATTCCCGGCTTATTTGTTTTTTTTTTTTTTTTTTTTTTTTTT